ATACGGAGCTGCGTGAAGGTGCTTGCAGTAGCGTTGAGTGAACATGTCTGAATACAGGCCGTTTCGGGGTCCCTCTTATAGTTCGGTCCCCGCTCCCCTTGCCTAGTGATACGGTATCTTTGTTCTAGCGGATGTGGGTTATGTGGCCATCGAACTAACTACGCATTTGCGAAATTGCTAATCTATTACCCGCATTATTGAATTTCTTTGTAATATAAAGCTATCGCTATTAATATATATGTTATATATGTTATAATATATATATTATGTATATATAACACCCGCCTATTCTACATGATTGCAAACCCGCATTGGCCGTGTAATATTATTTCAACCAGGAAGGTTAATTAGTTTTTGTTTAATACATCTGCCCATTACCTATCTACCGTATATTATGTTAAGTATGCTACCCGTCGAGACTTCGAATGTTGCGTAGTAACTTGCTTACTACAATATAGTACCTATATCAGTCTTCGAAATCTTAATCGAACTCCGGGAAATATGTTTAATTTACTACCGCTTTTAGTAGTTTTTATAATTATGTAAACAAGAATGAATTGTTTCATCTTTCGAGAAGTATTGGCGAAGTGCATGACTCCTTAAAATATGATACGCTGGAGACACCTTAATAATAATATAGGTAGGTATTCTTATTTCTTGTAAACAATGAATGTTTTAACAGTGTTTTTAATTAAGAAATGAATAGAAGTGGTTGTAATAATAGGTAGGTAATATCATATTAATAATATTATTATTGTGTATTGCAAAAAATATTCGTGGGTACCTATACCTGTATACGCCTTCATGACGAGGTTAGATTTTAGGTGTCAATAATATAACCTTAACACTAAATCAAAAAAAAAATTTCCCGCTTTGCTCAAATACACCCACAACCCTTATTATAACTATCACATTACAACTTTTCAAGTATTTTTTAATAATTAACTCAATGAAAAACATAAAACAATAAAACCACACAATGACTTTTTATTTTATATACACATATTATAATATTATGCACCATACAATTTTCAAAATATTTTTAATTGGTATTTGAACTATTTAAGGACATTTAAAGTTTAAATTGTATTTAGTTTCTATAAATGCTTAAACAATTTTATTCGTTGGATCAAAAAGATTGAAAATGTAGTACAATAAGGCTCCTAATTTCTTGTTTCGATTTCAGTTGAATAATTTTAAAAATAAAGTCACATTTTTTTTATAAGCATTTATAGTTAAAATTTTGACAAATATAAAATGTTCAAATCATTTTGAGTTAGAAATTCATAAAATGTTATATTTATAAATCTAAGATTTGAAAATGTAATACAAATTTTCTCAAAGTTTGTCTAACTTTATCAAAAAAAAATCGTAACCTACCAGAAAGTCAAATTAAATTTTAATGAGCATTTGAAGTTTAAATTTTCACAACATTGAATATTCACTCCAACTCACATGTAGCGACTTTCTTATTTTGTTTTAATTCAAAAACCAATAACTGTATATGTATACTTGAAATTTACATCATATGTTTATTTTATCAATTCCTATACTTGATAAAATTTTCAAAATATGTTGACTCGTTTTGGGCTATTTAATGACATTTTCAATTTTAAATTTTAATATCTGAGTGGAGAGATAAATGTACTGATTTTACATTGATGAGTGTTTTTTTTTTTTTAGTTTAAAATTGAATTTAAACTTTTTATTTATGTGTCTGTCACCACCTTTTAGGACAGTAAAAATGCTTAGATTTTCTTCAACATTATCTTTTCTGATGGGAAAGTGAATCTAGTTGGTACTTTGGTTGGTTAAAAGTAAAAAATTCCCAGTAGTTTTCAAAAGAGCCATGAAAAACAAAAGAAAAATTAAGGAAAAACGGGAATTCTTACTCAAAATCTGTTTTCGAGAAAATCGATTTTGGTTTTTGTTGCAACTATAAAACAAATGACCTTAGGTACATGAAATGTTGACTGAATGTTTATATTAGCATTTTCCATAGACCATAACATTTTCCAAATATTTCTGTAAATATCAATACAATTTTTTTTGTTGGTTAAAAAAGATTGACAATTTAATAATATACTAGGGTATATTGTTTCAAAGGCAGATAAAAAAAATTAAAAATCCATAGCCACAATTTTTTTTTTATAAACATTTAAAGTTCAAATATTGACAAAATACGTAAAATTTTCGAAAATGTGTAAATTATTTTGAGTTAGAAATTCATAAAAATCTTTCTATTTAAATCCAAGATTAGGAAATGTTATACAAGATTTCTCATAAGATTGTCTATCTTAACCACAAAAAAAAATGTCTTCAGACAAATAAAATTAAGTTTTTATGGGCGTTTGAAGTTCATATTTTTACAAGATTGGATATTCACTCGATTTCTCATGTAGCGATTTTGTTTGTTAGCGTTTTTATTGTTATTTAAAAAGGAATAAATTTAGATACATGAAAATGTTATTGAATGTTTATATTTTTATTTTCTATACACCATACAATTTTGAAAATTGTTTGACTCTTTTTGAGCTGTTTAACGACATTGTCAGTTTTCAATTTTTTGTTTTCTTTTTCTATAAATTCAATAAAATTGTATTTGTTGGGTTAAAAAAGTGAAAATTTAATGTAATTCTCCTTTTATATTATTACAATATCAGTTGAAAAATATTAAAAATATCTAGGCACAATTTTCTTTTATTTAAAGTTCGAATTTTGACAAAATTTATCAAATTTAAAATGTAATAATTATTTTGTAGTTAAAAATTTAAAGTAATAAATAAATACTAATTTCTACTGTAGACTGTAACCAATGGCAACTATTAAATATTAATAAATAAAAATAAAATTTCCAATTTAAATCGTGAACCTCAATGTCCCTGTTTGAGCACCTAATTAAAATACAAATTTCGGCAAATCCTTTCTTATTGAAAAAATATGAGAAGAACCTCTATTCCAAATTTCAAGTTCTTACGTTGAGTAGTTTTTGAGTTACAGCGATCAGTGACTATAAGTGGTATTTAGATTTTATATGTAAAGATAATCTACTGAATAATAACTAATATTCCATTTATTTTATAGTTTTAATTTTTAATATTATTAGGTACCTTGGTTGTTGAAATTTCTTCAAATGTTTGGTCAGTAGGTACTCAGGGTACTATAGTTACTTGGTTGTCGATTTTCACTACGCTAATAAAACAACTGTTGATAAAATATAACCATATTTTTTTTTAGCAATACCATCAATATGAGATCTATTCATCAATAATTGAGCTACTTGAAAAGTTTAAAAACTAGATCCACGTTTTTATCTGCTCTAAAAATAAATGACCTTATTTCGAAAACAAATATGTAATTTTCAAAACGTATAATCTACTCTTCATTCAGATTTCAGAATCTGTAATGCAGATATGAAATAAATTGTCTGAAGAAATACAATTGCTGCCTATCTCAATTGGGAGCTTTAAAATATAATCAAATTAATGCACATTTGGAAAAGTGATACTTACATTATGTTTAAATATGATATAATATTGTACAAAAATATATGCATAAATATAAGAAGATATAATTAAATAAATCAGTATCCTACTAAGCCGTTTAATCGCACCCAAATTGGTTTAAAGTTTAAATAGTAACAATAATGATTGGGATAAAAACCCACTTGTGCAAATATTATATTGTTAAGTAGGTAGGTAGTCACTAGGTACATATTTTCGTCGAGTAAGTATTTTATCTTATTATTGTAGTTGGTGATGCCGATACTCTAAAAATATGTAACAGAGTATATTCCTATTTAATAATAATAAAATGTGTAATTTTAACATAATGGACTCAAAATGCTGGATAATATCGTAATGTATGGATGTTGACTATAATGCCAGACGTCAGTTGTATCTAAATAGAAAAGGCCATAATTTTTTAAAACAATACTGAGTACGTCAAGGTAAATCGGTGAGGGATGTTTTAATATGATATTTTAGTTTCTGAGAGGAGCGATGAATCTATTGATTTTACAATGGTGTGTGTTTTCATTTACATTTTATCTATGGTGTCTGTGTACACGATAAGTAGTCGAAATAATGGTTTGATTTTCAACGTCAGGGTATTTTGTTCGATCTGAAAGTGAATCTAGTTGGTACAATAGGGAGATCAAAATTTAAAGTTCCCAGTAGTTTTAAAAAGCGCAGGGAAAATTAAAAAAAAAAATAAGGAAACCGGGAATTTTTACGTATACAATCGGTTTTCGACAAAATTGATTTTGGTTTTTGGTGTAACTCTGAAACAAAATATGACCGTGTAAATACATGAAAATTTAATTATGGTCTAGTTGATGCATAGATCCCTGCATTACCTTTGTCGTCATCGATTAATGCAGAGACGTGACAAAATATAGTATATGTGGCTCGTGAGGGAAGGCAATTTCAGTCATGGGCGAAATGCAGTGGTGCCGCACACGTCGCCCGCGACTGAAATAGTTCACTTCCCTCCCTTGCCACACAATATACTTTTGTAGTTAACATTTTTTTAAATGTTCGGTTTTTATAGTTAAGGCTCGAAATGCCTTGAATAAACACATATCCCCTTCAAGCCAAAATCCTAAATACGCTACAGGTCCACCGGACCTCCTCGAGAATGAGAACAATATAGATAGGATGGGTTTTGAGACTATACCTACAGATGTAATATTTACTTATATTAGAATAAATAACTGTTTAACGTGTTGTATGGAGGTTTCGATAGTATGATTAAAATTAATTTAATTTTAACTATTATTTGAATCGTTTGAATTAAAATGATATGACACGTTCCAAGTTAATTGGTTATTAAAATAATTATTCAGGTACTTGAACATATCAATATGCGGTGGTGTTGATAACAGTACGAGGTGTAAAACACTTTTTACACGTTCACGATTCGAATTGATACTTACGTATTTACCATTGATCAATAAAATCCTATTCTTTATATCACATTTTGTTGATGTTCTATTATCAATGCCAGAAATAAAAGAAATTCAAACACAAGACTCCGCACGAAAATATGGTCCGAAGGCGACGTTGGCACAAGTAAGTGTTTTATCTGCGAAAACAAAAGTTTTAAATGAAAAATGTCTTACCTTTATCGAAATATGTGAAAGTGTTTGGCCACAATAGCGCAGAGTTTTCTGTTCATCAGATTGGGCATGAACATATCGATATCTGTGATAGTCATTCACGACTTGTATCGGAATCTAAATAGTGAATTCTCAATAACGACCACCGAGGCCTCGTGGTACGGTAAGTCAATTGGTTATCAATGTCTACTTTAATAATTGTCGATAGGTTATCAAATGTTCATGAACGGTTCGAATTTTCATTTTTTCCCATTAAAGTTTTGGTGAAAATTGTTGTTGTTGAAAAAGTCTCGAACATGTAATAGTTCAAGGGTGTTGAAGCCAGATAAAAGGTTAATAGTTTTCGAACAAAATTATGTTTAATTTAATATTTTCAAGATTATTAAGTATTTCTTAATGACTATTTATTTGATACTTAAGTATATGTAATGTTCTGAATATTTTAACCATATTACTTACATAATAATAATATGTTGTTTTAAATTTAACCTCTGTGATAATTATAAAAGACCATAGGTAGATACGTTATAACATCTAAAGTTTAAACCTTGCAAAACGGATAAGACGATTTACTTAGTCAATCGTATAAGCCGTTTTGCTAACGTCGAAATTTTAGTGGGATATACTGAGCATATTATTGAACAGTTGATACCTAACAACAGTGATGAAATATTAAACTTATATTACCTACAAGAGAAACACATATCGTACGAGTATCAGCTAATAAGTTTTTCGTGCTAGAGTTTAAATAAACAATAGGTCGTAAACATTTTCAAGAATATTATGAAATACAAAATATACCTAAAAAGTGATACTCACATAATATTATAATGTATTATTATTATCGTAATAACTATAATAGGTAGGCCGTGGGCGCATAATACAGTGTACGATTATTTAATTAAAGTACACAATAGGACTAGTATAATATTACTACAAGGTAATGATTTTCAGAAGTGTGATATGATCATATAGGGATGACCTGCACGTTAATATCTACTTATATAATATTATTATTTTCATATTCACCACTTTACTGGAAGCTTTTTTATTTATTAAATAATTTACTACCACGGAGGGCAATAGTACACTAATAATATGATATTAAATATATTTAACACAGGTAACATGATGTGCATATCATTAATTTATGCTATTAAGACATTTATGGCATAGTATTTTACTTTCATCTTATCTATGAAAAAAATCAAAATCGAACCGTCGCCGGTTCGAACACCGACCACGGGCTGCTCGTCTCTCTGGGCAACTGACAGCCCTGTAAAGAATACTTTTATTTTATATTCGGAATACATATTCGAATAAATGAGAACTAAGGTATTCAGAATACGTATTCGAATAGTTCTTAAAAAATATACTCAGAATGCATATTCGAATTCTTTAAAAAGTATTCGAATTCTATAAGAATAATTTTTTTACAACTAGTTTTTGTCAGATTTTAAATGGTTGGTAATTAACATTTATTAATTAATAGTTAAAAATGCATCATAATCATAAGTTATTTATGATTTTTTACCAAATATGATACGGCCGATACGGCCCATACGGAAGACAACACATTGGTGTTTATAAAAATAATCATATCATGGGCCAATATTATATTCCGTTCAAAGAATAAAATTAATGTTCATGATGTTCATGATAAAACTATGTTTCTGGATCGGAAAAAAGCATTTTTTTTAATGAATAAAAATTACAAATAAAAGTATTCAGAATACGTATTTAAATGGTTTTTAAAAAAATTATTTAAAATAGTATTCGAATACAAAAAAAGTATTAAAATACTTTTATTCGTATACTTTGCAAGACTGGCAACTGACCAGAGACTGTGGCCGCCATCCCCTTACCGGGCATGGCAAAAACCTACGGGTGCCCAACTTGAAATTCTGCCAAACATAATAACGTGTTTCAATCAACCGTTTCAATCGTTCCCCTCCCCTACAAAACAACTAAACAGCTAATGGCCGGGCTTAAGTTCAATAACAAAAATAAAAACACAGATGTTTAATATTTGATATACATATAGTGCTGCTTAGAACAAACCTATGTATAGTACGTCGTTTTAATAACTTAATATTTACGGTTTAAATCGGTATTCAAAACCGGTATCGAAAATCAGTTTCAAGCCCTGATTTAAATATAAGGTGTATTATTCATATATTAAAACTTAATGTTTACATATACAAACCATGTCGAGCTCTCCGAATTCAACAAATCGGGTAACATTGAAAGTGCAGAAAATATGCATATAGGAGGCATATAGCATTACAGCGATCACCTGCACGTTAATGTCTAATCATGTTGAATTTAATATAATATTATTTTCGTATTCGTGACTTTACAGGAAGCTTGTTGTTCATAGCCCACCTGGTCGGATGTCTACTGTCGGGGATCCTGCAAGACAAGTTCGGAAAGAAAAGCTGTATGATACTCGCAAATGTGCCAAGTATCTTCGGATACGTGCTGCTGTACTCGGCACACTCGTCGGTGTTATTGTGCGCGTCGACCTTACTGATGGGATTCAGCGCCGGATCCACCTCGTCGTACGTCGGAGAGATATCGGAACCTAGGCTCAGAGGATCACTGGGTTCGCTGGGAAGAACGGCCATGAGAATAGGCACGTTACTCATGTACAATGTACATCCTGGGACTGTTTTTCGACTGGAGGACCGTGGCATTGCTCATCATGTTCTGCCCCATTATATGCATATGTTTCATCATTTTCGTACGTAATCCTGCGATTTTATACATTATTATTAATCGTGATGTTTGTCGATTTTGCATATTGTATTAAATTGAATAATATTTGTTGTGTCGTTGACGTATGGTTTTTGTTTTATTGCATAGATTCCGGAGTCACCCGTTTGGTTGACCCAAAGGCCAAAATGATTAGGCCGAAAAGGCCATGTGTTGGTTGAGGGGGTGGGTGGAACCTGAAAAAATTAACCCGGAATTTCTCGAACTGGTTCATTGCAATCAAGTATCTGGAACACAAGGTGGCAAAATTGAAACGGACGATAATAATAAGAGGTTTCTTTCGAATTTAGCCCAGTTCAAAAACCCGGCGGTCTATAGACCACTGAGATTGATGCTGATTATTTTCTTCGTATCTTTCGTAGTCAGCCTTTTCCCTACCATACCATTTATCACCAAAATAATGAAAGAAGTTGGATTATTCGATAACCAAAACGAATCGTTGGTATGAACTTATCAAACCGTCGATTTCGTAATGCTGAAATTATATTTTATATTAAACTGTAATCGACAACATTTCATTCTAATTGTAGGTCCTCCTATCAGGCCTGACGAGCATCGGGTGCATCATAGCGACTGCGACTGTCCATCGAACTATGAAAAGATTATTGACTCTATTGACGTTATCTATAAACTTTTATTGTTATCTTTTGGTTATTTCAGTAAAAGCAGAATATTTTTCATCGTCTTCTTTGATTTGCTTGATATTTCTGTGCAGCATTTACTTTATTGGCTCATGCGGAATTTCGTGAATTCCCTGGATGATACTCATTGAAGTTTTTCCCAACAAGTAAAATATTTATATTTTTATTTGATATATTTTATGTTACTCACAGAATGCGCAGTTTATCTTTAAACCAATCGTTTCAAGTTGAGTATTTTTTTTCAAACTTTTAATCAAATGTTTTTTTTTTTTTTTATAGTAATTATTGTCCTGCTGATATTTTCACATTTATTGATAATTGAGAATTATCAATGAATTTGTGGATATATACTATTTTAATTTATTAAATTAGACGATTGTAATTTAATTATTATTTTATATTAATACTTTTTATTTATACAAATAACGTTTAGCATCCAAGTATTTAATTATTGGTAGCATTTTTAATTTTAAAAATGTTATTAATAGCATAATCACAATTCAGATGTTTCATCGCTATAATAAACATTTACAGTTTGTATTAATATTTGGAAGTTATATAATATTATACTTTAGTGTACCTAAAAATCTATAAAAAAAATGATATATTAAAAATAGCATGTACCATATATTTTTATATTTTTACCTTATATTTGAATTTTCTTCTAGTTGATTTTTTTTACAGAAGCCGAGGAGTTACTAGAGGGATTGGCCTATATCATATTATTCACACTAACAAAATCATACTTAACAATTTAAATGTATTTAAGTCTGGAGTACACTATGATTCTTTTTGGTTGTGTTGGCGTTTTTGGTTTGATCTATTTTTATTTTTATTTCCCGGAAACTGAAAATAAAACATTATTAGAAAGTGAAGAATTTTTTGTATCGACTAAAAACGTCTAAAGTAAATTAATTACTTTTTTATTTATTAATTTTGATTACATAATTCAAAGTTTTGAAATTCATAGTTTTTAATGTATTATATCTTAAGAAGTTGCCAACAAAACCCACATGGGTTGGTTTTCACGTAGAACATGACTAAATTTTCTTTCGGCAGAACCAATTATGTGTTATTAGTTTTAACTTTTAATGACTGATAGAGCTACAATCAAACTTAAAGATGAGCTCATTATTTATACTAAAACATTGGTATTTTTTACTATATTAATTTTTAAGTAAGACATGAGTATTTAAAATATTACAATATTTAAAAATCCTCATAACACACTTAAAAATGAAAATAATATACACAATCCAACCAATAAAAACAGATAATGTCCTTATCCTGTAATCATATAATAAGTTAATAAGGTACTCAGAGGAGTGGAACGGACCGATAAGAAGAGTTGTGCCATCGTGCTCATTGGCATATTATCACATTTGATAATTTTCAGCGCCAACACAATACTTGACTTAATTTGTGAGGTTCGTACTTCGTCATGCCACTGCTATGTCAATCTCAACTAATCCTACCATTTATAATTTTAAAGCTTGTAACTTCGATAATGTTTGTTCATTTTTTGATGACTTAGATTTTATGTCGAATCTTAATTCAATTGATTTGTGTTGAAAGTGAAGCTTGACGTACCAGTGATTTTAGCATTAATATAATAAGTAATAACACGACAGTATGATTATGTATAAGTATAATATATAATAACGTACAACTGGACAATTAAACTGTGACTATACACACACCCCGCGTATACTCGGTATGACAGCGTCTGTGCAAGTGATTATTACATACATCAAAGGCCCTATTTATATGAACAATCGAGGCTATCACGTATCCATACATAATATAGAAAGCGATATTAAAGGTGTTGCACAGTTATATCATAACTGCATACTGCATAAGTATCTATTAGAAAACGACATTGTACACGCACGTGTGTTTACATGGTTTGAATACTAATATTAATTGTATATTTCAACATAAACACTGAAAATGAATAAAAATAGGTGAAAAATAGTGGACCCCTTGGTGTTTGTACGTGTTTGGTAGTTACGTAAGCAAAGCAAATACCGCCTTCTCGCTACTCTCGGTAAACGGACCAGTTCGTGCCCGCACCCGTTGCCAGTGTCACGTGACGTGAATATTGCCGTTTCTTTTTGTTGCTCTTTATTCCATGTTTTATATTGTGCGTTGAGTCTCTTGAAACCCATCAAAGTCCTACCCATCACCGTCGAAGTCAGCTTCCTATCCATCACCGTCTTTCAGCCACCGTCACCGAGGTCAAAGTGTAACCACCAGCATTGTCTGCGTACGTCTTTGTTAAAAAACTTTACTATAATTTTTTTGTGTTATTTTTATTCATCATCCCCGACGAATCCCCAGATTGGCCAGTCCCTGTGTACTCATTTACCTAGTGTTTGAAGTATGAGAAATATTTCATGGAATATTTCACTAAGTTGTGAAATATTTCACAAAAACGTAAAACATTGAAATTTTTTTTACACAAATAAGAACACTATTTATTTTTATTATTTTAACACAATGTTCAGTGTTCTAAATTCTAATGTCAGAATTCAGTAAGTATACAATATACATGTATAATATTGTATACCCACTTGTATCATTTAAACATTAAAATATTTAAAATGTTTGAATACCAATTTAAATGTATAATACCAAAGGTTAGGTATACATACAAGTACCATATTATAGTGATGAAGGTAATTTATGACAAGTATATGTAAATATAAACTTATTTAAAAATAAAACAAAATATATTAAAATACTGAAATATTTCACATATTTTGAAATATTTCATTTTTTTAAATTTCATGAAATTTTCAAACACTACCTTTACCTGTACCTTACATTTGTTTTGTTTTGAAATTTTAAAAATTGTAGCCCGCCGCTCACGGCAAAAATCAAATATACCGTTATTACCATTTACTTACACAATACAGTCCACTAACTTAGGCTGAGCTAACAGTACGTAAGTGTATGATTTCACTCTAAAGTATAAAAGTTATAACAAGTTTGTTGTATTCCACCTATGGTGGATTAACATAATCAGTGAATACAAAATATTAACAGTAGTAATATCAGATGAATAAAAAAAAACTTTAACATTTTTTTTTAATTAGCCTGTCTTCTTCCTAGAGGTCTAATCTACACACAAATATTCGTTTACTTTATATATATTGTCAAAAAACAAAATACAAATAAAAAACCGATTAACCAATAGCGACTAATATAAATTATAATACACTGTTGCGCCAAGTGTTGTATTTTTTTCATCCAGATTTCCTACTTTTCCATTGGGTTTTCCTAAAATTTTCTTTCGTTCCAATCTTCTCCAGGCAATTACGAACATCTGAGAAAAAAATTGAGCCAAATCGGTAAGGCCGTTCTTGAGTTTTAGCGAGACAAACCAACAGCAATTTATTTTTATATATTTTGAAAATTATATGTATCAATAATTTAATGATTTTAAATGGATACGATATTCTATGTCTATATTAAATATTTATGTTAAGCATTAACATTTTAATTTTTAAATATTCAATAATTAAATAATAATAATTATTATTATTAATATTATTATTAAATTTTTTTCACATTGAATTGACAGCTCATTTCGCAAACCGTATAATTTTGGTGAACCGTTGGCAGCATTTAAAATCTCCGATGCAACTCTTATAGTAACGCCTAGTGATGGGCACTACCGAATAGTTTGGACAATCGATTGTCTATCGATAGTTTCAAAAACTACCGAGTGATTTTTCAATTGAATGAATATTATTATTCATCGATTGTTTTTAAAACCATCGAATGAATTGCTCGATAGTTTTCATTCGTTAGTGGAACAGACTAGTTTTAACTATCGATAGTTTTCATTCGGTAATAAATAGTAATACACGTCTAGTACCAACTAGTTTTGACTATCGAGTTAAAAAAAAAACAATCGAGTGATTTTTCGGTATTATCGACTGAATTTTCTTGATAATTTTCACTTTTTAAATTTGAAAAACATAATTCAAAGTTTTGAAATTCATAGTTCTTGAGTTTTAGCGAGACAAACCAACAGCAATTTATTTTTATATATTTGGAAAATTATATGTATCAATAATTTAATGATTTTAAATGGATACGATATTCTATGTCTATATTAAATATTAATGTTAAGCATTAACATTTTAATTTTTAAATATTCAATAATTAAATAATAATAATTATTATTATTAATATTATTATTAAATTTTTTTCACATTGAATTGACAGCTCATTTCGCAAACCGTATAATTTTGGTGAACCGTTGGCAGCATTTAAAATCTCCGATGCAACTCTTATAGTAACGCCTAGTGATGGGCACTACCGAATAGTTTGGACAATCGATTGTCTATCGATAGTTTCAAAAACTACCGAGTGATTTTTCAATTGAATGAATATTATTATTCATCGATTGTTTTTAAAACCATCGAATGAATTGCTCGATAGTTTTCATTCGTTAGTGGAACAGACTAGTTTTAACTATCGATAGTTTTCATTCGGTAATAAATAGTAATACACGTCTAGTACCAACTAGTTTTGACTATCGAGTTAAAAAAAAAACAATCGAGTGATTTTTCGGTATTATCGACTGAATTTTCTTGATAATTTTCACTTTTTAAATTTGAAAAAGTAATAAATAGGTTTTAAAAAAGTTATTGATCATTTTAAATGTCTTTATCTAATTAACATAAATGAAAATCTTTTAATTATTATTTGTCTCGTATATCAGCACTTGTGTGTACAAATAATACGTTAGCTCCACTTCCATTGTAGATTATTATAATAAATATACATTATACAT